AGAAATATATATGATGAAGAGACGGAGGGTGTTGTGCATTAGAGTTGGTGTGAAACCTACAACAACCTGAAGGGGATTCATTTTCATTCATTTTATCTTTATTTTTTGATGCCTCCTCTTTGTTCTTGTGAATCTGTGCACTGGGGGAAATGGCTGTCTAGTACATTTTTATAAGAGATTTCTGTATCCAGATCCAATCTCCTTATATTTAGTGACCTTCCTGCCTCTCCTGCTCGTACATATAATCCATCCATGTGAAGGCCTCCGGCTGCTGTGTGCTCCTTCAGGCATGTGTACTGTATGACTAACAGTCTTCCTGCCACAAGTCGCCATGAGAGCCTCCAGTAAATAGATACATCAGTGTGAGGAAATAAGAGAGAAGCAGATAGGAATCAGCCATCCTTGGTCAAGATGGAGCCTAGGCTGAAATGGCGACTGTTCCTTCTCTCTGTGTCATCACTGTTACATTTACAGACCAGACAAACAGCATGTCCACGGTCATTATGATCAAACATGACCTGAACTGATGTTTGTTTGTAGGAGTGTAGTGGGGACACAATAAAACATAAATTATTAGCTTGCACAGCTACGCGTTTCTTCCTCTGTTTCCTCCTTGATTTTTTTTAAGTAATTATGCCCTAATGCTCACATGGTTTGGTCAGACCAATTGAAGGAAAACTAAACAAAACAGTTGATATTTTTTAACAAACTTTGCTGTAACTGTAGATGATACCTGCATTTTTTGCAGCTGGAATAATTTCAAATATAAATCTTAAAAAGGGTTTTTTTTTTGCAGACAAATCTCCTGCACCTCCACAACATCCACTGACTTTAAACTAGCAGCCTGTTTGAAAGGAGACACCAAAGACTTGGACCTCATTTCTGAAGTTTCTTCTCCTTCTTTTTCTTATTCCTTTTCTGAATGAGTCACCCCTAAAGTACCTTGACACAGGGAGTAAACAAGTCTGCCTCAGCTCATCAAGGTATTTTTGTTTGGTCAGAGTGCAGTATCTGCACACGGCGATCTGCTGCCACGGGGATAAAGGCCCATGCTGGTAGATATTATATATGGCCCTGCAGCTTTTGGCACGCGTGTAACAGAAGAATAGATAAAAGTGAAACTGCAGGATTTAAACTGGAAAGCTGGCAGGAAGTGGATAAAAGGAACCAGGTCCAAGTCAGAGCTTCACTGGATTATATATCGTTTCCCATTCATTCTTTATATTTGTCCTGGGTCGATCTCTTTATTATTAACGTTTTCCAGCAAATCAAGTGCAGCGTTGAATGCAGCGTGTGATATCCAACAGCAGAACAACACCTTTTTTTGACATCGTGCAGAAACGGAGTGACAGCATGTAGTGTGTAATGAAATCATACCAGTGCCAGACGTTTTACTTCACACCGTCTCACTGCCTTGCTAAGTTCAGTTATTTCAGCTGCTGCCGCAAAACATCCAAGTGAGAAAGGAACAATTATCTACAGATCATTAAAACTTTTTATAAAAGCGGATCTGGTTTTACACACCTGATTCAGCTAAAGTAGCAACTCTGGAAGTTGTAGAGTTCAGTTAAATATATATGTTGAACTTCCTGAGTAACACATATGATGGAAAATATTTTTAAATTTCACTACAACAAATAAAAGCGTTTGTATTTGGGAAATATAGACCAGCTCTAATTATTATTTAATATATTTTTAATGTAGTTTAGTATAGCTCAGAGTAGTCACTGAGGCTTAAACTAATTCTTAACTAATTAGTACTCACCTTTCATGTCGCTTCTCTCACACGCCCAAAAAATTAAACAACTGTACTTCAGATGAATAATAATCACATTCAACCATGATGACTCCTGATCGTAATAAACTGTGATCATAAATATCCACAATTAATCGGTATAAATAAGAGTTACTGTATATGACAAAAGCAGGTAGATAGATATGTTTGTCACCTGTTTTTATTGAGGTCTAATTCAAATGATGGATTTATTGAAATGGGAAAATGTCAAGATTTTAGTCAGTACTTTGGATCTAGATGATTACTTGTAGAACGGTGTGTTGTGAAATACAGCATATAGAAATGTTTACTTTTTTTATTCTGATTGTTGTATTCCAGTTTCGTCAGCCTTATTATTTATATTTAATTTCCACAGTTAGACAGGAGCTCTCTTTCAGTATGCTCTACAGAACAGTTCAGCAAAGTGTAGCATTTGGTGTTTTCATTAGTCTCTGTTGCTGTAATTACGTCTGCTACTGCCACCGTAAAAACGCTGCGGCCACTGCCAACAAACTAGGTGCTGCTGTATAGAATAACACTGGTAAATATTGCTGAATAAATCCACAAACAAAGCACATTACAAAGTGTTTTGTTCCACTCCTCTGTGTTGCAGAAAGCGATGCTAGTATTCCCTCAGTGTCTCTACATCACTGATACATCCAGACCCAGCTGACATATCTGGGACTGTGCTTTCTGCCTGACTGCCTGTCAGGGAGGAGAAACTGCCTTTTGATTGGCAGGTTAAACTCTTCAAGGTCAGGCTGCTCTACAGCGCACCCCCCCACTGTAGATTATAGTGGTAATATCTCTCCCACCGAGCATCATCCACCCCCCACCCCTCGTTCCCCTTTTTTTTAGATCCAAAGATTGGGTCCCTGCCGCCTCATCGCGTCTTTACGTAAGCTCTTGCACCGGGCTTTGGGCATAGAGATGGCGCTCTCGTACGTTACATTCAGCACAGCCCTGGTGCTTTGAGAGAAATAAATGTCATTGCTGACAGTTGGGTTGGGATATAAAAGTGGGGAATGGGATATGGTGGCATGACTGCAGCAATCAGAAATCGTCCGACATCAAGCTGGGGTCCATTTTCTAAACACAGACTCCAAACAATATTCAATGCTTAGTGTGACTTAGGGGAGGAAGATAATAGAAAATAGCTGCTGTAATGGAACGGTTATTGTGGTTCCAGGTACTGTACAGTGAAAGGTCAGTAGGAGAGATATGACCATGGTTGTCCTTCATGATTATAGAGGATGTTATAAACCAGGGCCGACTTAACAGAAGAGAGAAGTACGGCTAGGAATGACGAGGGTTGATTTACGGGTTCAGATGCAATTATTTATATCACTTCAGTTTGATGTGGTAATAAAACGATGAAGTGTCTTTGGTTTAACACTGAAACCTAAAGTATGCACTACCATTGGGCATATGCTTCAAATTAAAATTAAACTGCATGAAAAAAAACTGCTGTTCAACACAGAGATGGTGCTGAAATTTAAACAGGATCTGGATGAGCTTAATGAAGACAGAGAATGACATGTTCCGAGCTTTGCCCCCAATAGTCTAGGCATTCTAAGAAACTGAACCAATGAGAACCAGTTATCTACCAGAACTGAGACTTGTTTGAAAATAAAAATGAATGTTTTTTTTTCCAGCTTTGAGACTTAGTAAAGTAAGCTGTGCCAACATTAGATACGTTTGTAGGAACTGGTGAAAACTGCACATATGGTTACTAATTGTAGGAACTTCATATTGGACCAAAATGGAATGTGCGAACTTCAGAAAACCGACCTGAAAGAATTATTCTGCCTCACACTGAAAAAGTTCCCTCCCACCGTTACACAAAAAAGTATTTACTTTATCCTCTTCTGTTTTGCTTTTTATCATGAATACGATTAATTGTTCCCTAATTAGTAAATAACCGGCCTCTGAATGAGAGATGGAACAGTGTCAGTAAGACTCCCACACTCTCGAGGACACAGGTAGTGTGGAGGTCAGATGTCTCCAAACAAATCAATATTTGGGAGATGCACCACGACCAGGATTTAGGTGCTGTGTGATTTAAAGTGGCTCGGTGTGAAGAGCAGACGGACTGGAGGAGCGAAATGTGACAACACAGTTGGAAACGCTGGGCTCTGCTCTGTGAAGCCTCACAAAAGAACATGTGCAGATGGCTGCTGAAAGTCACAACGCCAAATAACTGCACAGATATGACAATGACATGCTCACTCTGTTCCCATCCTTCTATTTGTTATGCATGAATATTTAGCAGGGCATTTCAGATGAGGACACGTCGCAGATTTACGCCAAATGAGTGTATGGGGACATTTTCCACTGCCACAGCCTGTTGTATGACATTTAGATGTGAGGACGGAACAGGAAGGGTGTGAAAGCAGTTAGGCCGATCGCGTACCCACCTAACAGCTTACGTTTATCGGAAAAAAGTAAAAAAAAGAAAAAAGAAACGAAGTTATATGTTTAATAACAACGATGAAATTTATTAGACAACCTATAAAAATTAGGCACAAAATATGACTTTGCTTACGTAAAGTGGTGGAACAAATGAGGGTGAGAAGGTAACATGGGTTAATGAATGAAAGTACAGGAAGAAAATATTTTTAAAAACAATTGGAACAGTGAAATTACTGTAGTATTTGATGTAATACATTCTCTGTCATACAGTGTTGAAAATATTTTTAAAAACAATTGGAACAATGGAATTACTGTAGTGTTTGATGTAATACATTATCTGTCATACAGCTGTAATATATTCTGGGAAAATACTCTCCAGAAAAGAACGAGAATTCAGGTCATTGTAAACTTGGCATTTTAAATGCTCTAAATATGATTAAAACTCTCTGCAATCTATGTAATTCTGTATAATCCTGATAAAAGAATATTTCCCTTCTTTCCTTTTGTCACAGAGGTTTTAATCTGTACATTGTTCCGAGCAGTAAACCTCTCCACTGTCAGCTGTTTTTGGACGCTTGTTCACACACAAGAAATATTTCAACAAGCAGAACTATCTTCCAGGCATCTGTCAAAGTGCGACTTAGCGGTGACGTTTTGAACAGCTGGTTAGATTTGCCGGGCTGTTCAGCTCCACTGGGTGACATTTGTGTGTGGCTACAGCCACCGAGCACAGAGCGAGAACTGACACATGACAGATTCCTCTGTTCATTCATTCGTACAAACTAAGTCTTTTCTTTTTCCCTTTCTCCTTTAGACCTGACCATCAGCTGTTGAGCAACACTGCACCAAGTCACTGTTGACCTCAGGGTGAGTCTCCCTCCACTCCTCAAATCAAAACATGGAACATCTGTTTCTCTTTGACCCTGTCAGGATAGAGCTTCCTGGACACTCCTTCTTTAAATTCCAGTTGTTGTTTTTTTTTATTATTATCTTGAATGAATTTCTAAAAGCCTTTCTTTCTTCCTTGGTTTCTTACAGTGGATTATTTTAGAGTTATTCAACCTAATGAGAGTAAATGGGTTTATTGGTCATTTATATTTAAAAGAACCTCAAAGTAAAAGTAAACATTAAACGTAGCTGCCTCCCTCTGCAGGTTAGCTGTGTATTCCTCTGAGATTTGACTCTTTTTGCAGTGGCCTCATCACTGCAGAGCACCTCTCACTGTGACAATACAGTCATTAAAATGGTGCAAGCTTCTTTTGTGCTGTTATAATCTTTTCTTCTGATGCTGGTAAATGACACGTCCTGACCTTTCCTGCTCAAATAAAAAGTCGACAGCATAAGGAATTACTGAAGTTGTGCAGATGCATATTTAGAGGTTTTAATTAAAGCAGATTTTATTAGAGTGTTCTCCGCAACAACCCACAGTGTAGTTAGATGACGATGTGGAAATATAAATAGAAAATTATAGTCAAGACTTCATTATCCCTTTGGGACTTTGGGCCATGGAAAAATAATTTACAGAGGCCTCCAGTATTTACATGCCCTGATGATCAAAACCTGGAGCTGATTTCATTTCTTTGTTTCTGTATTTTTACAGTTTTTTGTTGACGTCCTCTCTCCAGCAGCAGATCACTCAGTCAGTGCACAGAGGTTGAATTAGTCCTTATTGATTTTTCTTTTTTTACTCACCTTATCTCAGGGGGCAGAAATATCACAAGCAAAGTTTACATTACACCCACTTGTCATTGTATGGGTCACATTATCACCAGGAAAAAAATGAAAAATAAATCATGTCTCACTCTGGGAATCTCCCACTGAATACTAACTACCATTGACTTTGGTTTCTCACAACTGCACATACAGTGAGCCTGGGCATAAATATTAATGAGAGAGCAGTGAAGTAGCTGAGTTCATGTGTGATTCATGTCTTCTTCAGACTTGGTTCAATGACAAAGGCATTTTCTATAGTTTTAATATGTTTATCTCTGCCTGTCCTATTTTGCTTTTTTTAATTTTTTTTAGCTTGCTTTTAAAAGTGACTATTACCTGATTATGGAGTTGAAAAAAAGGAGATTCAGCCACAGTTAAGGAGCACAAAAGGAGATCAGCGTCCGTTGAGCACAAACAGTATTTGTAACATGATCCGGGCTGACACTGATGTATGAGCGCTGTCAGGACCTGCCGGTGTCATTTGTATTTCATCATGAATTCAAACACCTCCAGCCGTCCCCGCTGTCAGACTTTGTCCTTTCTCTCCCACGTTGAAGTCTGTGTTTAAACAGCCACACTGCTTTAGGCAGGGTTCACTGGCTATTTACCCAGGCATTTTGAGCGATTCTGGTTTTGTTAAATCCTATTTTGTGTCGTGAGCGTGGAGCTCGCCGCCTTCCAGGCCTGTGAAGGCAGACGACCAAGACCGGCTTTCCAAAACGAGGGTCCAACGAGCGGTCCAATTTTTCATCCTTATTGCCCGTGACATATCCAAAGTGGCAGTGCTGTTTTGGGGAGAGACAGAGTACCGAGAGAGAGGAGGAGGGGGAAAAAATCCAGGACCCCTGAAGCTGAAATGAACAGGGGGAGAGTACGTTTCTACTTCCTTCTTCTGGTCTCTTCAATATTCTTGTTTAAATAGTGCAGTTCACCTGGTTTTTATTGAGGCTGTGTTGCAGTATAACTGACTTGGAAGGTGCAGTTTATTACAGTAGCCAGTGAAACTGAAGAGCAGTGATCACTACAGCTCTGAAGTCACAATTCTGTCCATGTTCAAGGTCCTTTTTTTGTATTCTGCAGAATTTTATTTTAGGTAGTTGTACTTAAGACCGACTGTAGGTGAAATACAATACAATACAAGACAAGACATTTTTATAGAGGTACTTCAGACTAGTAATGCTAAAATAACTGTAATCTGTTGAATTGTTTTGGCTATAAATATAGCACCAGAACTACTAGTCAACTGTATGGGAGACGGATTTGTACAAACTGATATGACAACCCTTCCTGATTGGACTCCTTAGTGATAATAAATGACCAGATTGACAGTTTACACTCGTACATGTCCAAAGAGCTCATTGCACTCAATTAATTTTTAAAACATTTTTTTAACGTTAACACATTTTACCTGATAACAAATAACACATTGAATTTTTGGGCTTTTTTTCCCACTAAATTGGAGATTAAACATGTCTGAAAAAAAAAAAAACATTATTTGAATATTAATTGAATTTGTTTTCTGGTTTTTATCCATTTCCGATTTTTTCTCCAAACAAAATTGATTGTTGTAATTTGTGCTTGATTGTGTTATTTCAGCATGACTGCCTCTCTTTCATCTTGTTAGGATGGAAGCATAATTTTCCAGATTGTCTGTCAGACACATTTTCATATTGAAATCATTTTTGTTTTTTCCCGTGAACTGGTTCAGAAAGTGTGTGGAGGTGTTGGGATGAGTTCAGTTACACTCCAGCACCTGGAGTAATGCAGGACCACGGAGGGCAGTGTGAAGGTGACTTTGTGGACTAAAATATAGAACATGGGTTCACTGACAGGTGAGGAGGACGGGGGGACGGGGGGGCGGGGGGACTCGACTTAACTGAGGCTACGTGTCCAGGAAACTGTAGTGTTCTCAGTCTCATGGTGGAGATTAGGATCTCTTGTTGTAATTATGGTTCCATGAGGCGGCCTCATTCTGCCAGTTTGATAGCATCAGAAGCAGCAGGTGCTGTAGACGGTATCTGACATCAGCTGTTCATGTTATTTCCATGTTCCAGGAGGAGGTGGAAGCTGTGATGGCACCTGATATGAGCTGAGTTTTGATGACTGGGAGAAATAAATAGTCTTAGTAGATGACAGTAGATGACATGAATAACTGCTCACAAAAACCCCGACATGTGCTGGACAGATGCTCAATTTTACCAATAATTAGCAGTTTGGATGCCATGCTGTGTGCTGTTGTGTAGAGCAAATGATAAAACAGGCTCACTTCCCCCTAGACAGTCACTAAAATGAAAATCTGTAAATGTTTGAAATGAATTTTTTAAATGAAATTCTTTTGCAATACGACCAGTGGAATGTGTCCAGGCTGCCACCTCAAAGATGTTTTTAGTTTTTGTCTGGTGTGAACTACTCTGGTGGTTTTTAGTTTCAACCAAGAAACTTGAGTTTCAGACAGACCCAATGTTGAAGTATTTTTTAATCAATCTTTTTTTTATATATATAAACCAAAGTAATTCAGGCTACATTATTGTTGTACGGTGGTTTAAGTAAACATTCAGATGAAACTTAATGAAGTATTGCAGCTATTCTGGCTGTTGCTGCGGCTGATGCAGCTCTTCTCTGTCTTCCTGTACCACTTATTTACTTTCCGTCTTGAAGCTATAACTAAAAAAAAAACCCCAAGCTTTAAAATCCAATTTATTTGAAAAATGTCGTTCACACTATAATATTATGCCCATGAAATTTGCCAGTCTTCTCAAAAAGTTTATTTTAGCTTATTTATTAAATTTGATTTAAAAATGAATTTCTCCTTTTTAAGCTAAATGAATTTGCTAAACCTTTGGTGACTCAGTATTATTTGCATTTTAATAAAAAAAAAGAAGGATCCATTATTTTGAGTCTAAAAGTGTCATTAGTGTAACCACATGTGATTTCATGCTTCAGATTCACCTGAGAGAGAAAGAAAGAAACTGTGACTAAAACTGACATCTGATTTGAGTCCCTTGATATCAAGAAAACAGTCTGTCCGTCTCTTCTGTAAATGGACTCACACATTAAAAAAAGACATATTGAAAGAATCAAAATCTAGTTTTAGATGGTTGATCAGGACTTTTCTTATGACCATATTTTATCATCCTAAAATGTTACTTTTACCATTGAATGCTGTCTGAAGTTGTAGCAAACACTTTTTGTAAGCACACAACAAACCAATCAGTGGCCACAGTGTTCTTCTTCAACATTAAGAAAAATGATCTCCACCCTGCCGTCACCTGCCTTGTCTGTTAATATCAATGGTTGACACTGGTTAAAAACAAACATTTACAGATTCACTCTTGCTGACCTTCACGTCCCTGTGTCTGGGCGCAGTGACCAAGGTCACCGAGGTAATTAAATTACCAGGCTGTTCACAGAAATGGGTAATTACTGGGCTCCAAATCCCAGTTAATCCCACTTCTGAGCGGTTCTGCCTTGGGCACTCTTAAAAACAAGTGCTGACTCCTCCATCCTGCCCACACCAGGCCCTCCAAGACACATTAAATAAACAACCACGCTTTATCTTCTCTGAAAAAACAATGTTCTTTGAGTTTCTTTTTTCCAGTAAGTCCATGAATTCCTGGTAAAACTTCCTTAATATCGTCACTCTATCTATATCTGTATCTATGTGTGTGTTTCAAGAGCAGTAAAGGTCAAAAGGCTGATTCATCTCTGCTTATGGATGCCCTCATCATCACTGGTGTGTTTGACCTCTGACAACAGCAGGTCATTAAAGGAAGAGAGGAGATAGTTCAGATGTTTAGATGTCATTAAGCTTCTGCATGTTTTTACCACTAAGTTAAAGCATTTGTATGGCTTGCGCTTTCAGATCGCAGCTGTGGATTAATCACAGTCATGATCACTTGATGACAGTGATTAATCAACATACATAGAAATGACAAAAAAAAAAAACTTTTTCCCTGTATGCTGCTTCATATTTGTGAATAATATAAACGATGAAATGAAGAAAAAAAAATGGCAATCTGATAATTTCACAGTAGAGTGACCAATGGCACGTTTGATCTACTGTAATGTGTAAAGCATACTGTATGCTGATGATAATAATAATATACTTAAAAAAAACAAGTCTTTTACTGATGTGAAGCCATTTAATGATTCAGTGGCGATGACATGGAGACGTTTTCAGATAGAAGGTGGCTCCTTTGCTGCTGCTGTGACATCACAACTGAGCCAAACATCAGTGGCAGCGTCAAGTGTTTCTGACCTGAGCAGGTGTGCAGAGTTTAGCATCGTACAGTGTACACTGTATGTGAGCGTGCATGTGTGCGGGCGTGGGTTTGTGTACTTTACAGTATCTGACGCTTATACGCGAGGGTGGCAGGCCAGCTGCTGCTGCTGCTGCTGCTGCTGCTGCTGCTGCTGAAAAGAGCACCTGTGTGCTTTGAAAAATCTTCTGCCAATAGCTCCATATTTAAACAGCCACTTATCCAGTGATAAAGCTGTGAATGATTTGTGGCAGCTTCCTGCCTGTGGTAAAGTGAAAGAAAAAGAGAGAGAGAGAGTGTGAGAGAGAGAGACTTAATGAGAGCATCAGCTGTTATTAGGGTTGCTTCCCTTCATCTGGAAGGACATGGTTCTCTCTCAGAGAAAATTAGAGCTGGACGCTGTGGGTGGGTCGAAGCGATTCAACTGGAAATGTGTGAAGGAGCAGAGTTAGAGTTAACCAGTCCACAGAGATGGGCGATCTTTTTCTGGATCATGTTGTGGGGTCATATGTTATGTTGTTATTTTTAATATATTTTTTTTATAATCACCTTGTTCATCTTATAATGTTGCAACAAGCCCTCAAATATAGATTTAAGGGAAAAGAAACCCTGAACCACACAAGTCTTATTTAATGTAAATATTCAGGCAGAATGTTTTCCCTCATCATTTTTTAACACAAATTTCCACCATTCACATTGTTATTTATATGTATTCCTTTTTTCATGGGGGCTTTAAGCTATTAAGTACATGCTGCTTGTGGTCAGACAAGTACTTGCACTGGACAATGTCTAACTGCATAGAAATGTGAATGAGACCACTCAGGTCCCACACGCCGAGCATTGTGGGAATTTGATAAAAAGAAGGACACAAGTGCTCAGTTGACAACAATAGATAATAAAGTATAGTATATAGATGTATATATAAAAAGTGTAATGGTAGATAACACCATTTTTGACCTTTACGTGCAGTAAGTTGTGTACTGTGTAATTTTTCCTTCAGACCTAACTTTGTTTTTTTAGTCTATGCAAGTGTGGGTTTCAAGGTAGAAATAGATTTTCTTTATTATTTAAAGTCAGTCTGGTGTTCAGGCGCTCACAGACAGGCAGTTTTACGTAAGTTGAGCGACGTCCACAGAGGATGAGCATCTCGGTCCAGAGAATCTCCGCTCAGTCGTTGTTTTTCTAACAGCTGCCTGTATTTTCCCCTATAGAGCAGCATACATCTCCTGAGAGAGTCTTTGCTCTTTTTCTCAGAGAAATAGTTTGGGTTCAACCATTATTTTTCAACCAGCTTTTGTTGGTAAGTGAGATAAGCTCAGAAGTGTACAATTTCCAGCTCCTGGCTGTGAGAGCAGATGGTCTCTGCACCGCTGGGATCTGACTGCATCGGGGAAAACAACAGAGATCCTCCGCTCAACCGGCTCAGCATGCATGCACTACATGTTCTCGTTCATTAGGGTCAGACCATAACACCGCTGGACATCGAATCTGCACCGACAGGGCCACATCACATTGATCGTTCGCTCACAGACGCACAACAGGAGCAAAACACACAGAGTCAGTAAACGTAATGGACAACAGAGTGAGTCCATGCTGTTAGTTGGTAATCATTAACACACACTCTGCCTGTCTGCTCGATCCATGTCCTTCTATACACTGTAGTTCTGTTTACTCATATAGAGTAAGCTTTGAGGCACGTGTGTGTGTTATCAACAGGACCAAGATTTTTTTGTTTCTTTATTTTTTTTTTTTTACTCTGGCACCTGGGCAAGAAAGCCATATGTGTTTAATGAAATGCTTAAAAAAAAAAAAACTTGTGTCAACTGTGTGCATTCACACATCTCAATAATTCTGAGACAAAACAAACAAAAATAAACACTTCGACGGTAAACTCAAGCATTTCTTGTGGAGCATTGATTAAACTCCACGATGACCCATAGATAGAATCATGAGAGGTTCTGTAGTGGCAGAGAGGACAAACAAACCAGCAGGGAGCAGCACAACTAATAATCACTAAAGCAGTTGAAGTAACAGACAAAACTGTGTCTGTATTTTAGCTGAATTTAGCTCATCATTATTCAAAACTGTGAGGTTTATGTTTTAGTTTCTAGCAAAGTAGAGAGTTTAAGTTTAATCACAACTCTGGAAAAACAAATCTCTACTGCCGTTTTAACAATGGGATTTGACATTTAAACAGACCGATGAAAAGGAAAAAATCCAACATTTATGATCAACATAAATTTTAGTTATAGGTAAATCACAGTATTTTTTTTATTTCAACGTTGATTAAATCCATATTACTGTCAGTAATTTTTTTTTCAAAGTGAATGTTGCAAAGTCTTTAGTAGACCTGTCTGAAAATTAACAAGCACTTTTTTTTATCTTCACCATTTTATGCTAGAAGGATTTTAAAAGGAAACAGAGTTGATACCAGCAGAACGTGACATGATCAGCCCCTGAGTAAAGTCTTCACTGACAGTAAAGCAGCACGGCATCATCTGCATAGATTAACACACCTTAGACCTCAATCAAATCTGGTGAATAGCTGTAGTATATTTTAGGATGGTTCTTCACTCACTGTTGTCTGATGCTGTGGCCGAGGTTTCCTGACCGTCAACATAAACGTTCTACAGTTTACACACTGCTGTGATAGCAATTGAAAACTGTGTGTCACTAAAAACAGGTACTTATGGTGGTTGAGAGTTTAGCCTGGCTTCAGACCTAAGTGGGCCAAATGTCACCTCCATTAAGGCAAATATCAGACACGGCCCCCTCCATTAGTGGAGGTGCCGTTGGACTCATTACATCCATTCAAATGCTCATTTGTGACAAGATTTTCGTTTCTGCTAACGGCCCTCTGCTCCTGCATCTGCTGCCCCTTTTTATAGTAGAGCGGAGTGACGCATCTGGTCAGAGGCTCAGAGTCCAGAAGGAGGCTGGGGGGGTGGGGGGTGGAGGGGGGTGTCAAGCAGCTCCTAGAGGCGGAGCATTAGCATACGCTCACTCTGGGAATGCCTTTGACAATAGCTGTCGGAAGAAGGACAGGAACGTGAGGAGCATCTCTAGAAAGTGGCTGGGCCTCAGGCAGGGACAGGGTGAGGTGGGAGGTGGGGGGTCGGGGGGGGTGAAACCAGTGGCTGCTGGACACAGAAGGACAGATATAGAAATAGATCAATAGACTGACAGAAAGTAAGACATGTGTAGATGGACAGGCAGATAAATGGACAGATTCATAGATTTTCCAAGTAAAGTGTAAACCAGGTGTAAAAGATTTTACACAAATTATATCACCTTTTAGATGCTGTTTTTTTTTTATTGTTTGTTACTGCAGGAAAACTGTTTTTCTTTTTTCCACGGAAAGAGAACATAGTGTTTTTCTGTTCTTCCACACTAGATCCACACCATCTCTGCTCACCTACTAAAGCCTGAAAACCTCTGCATTCTTAACCCTTCAGTTTAAAGTGATTGAGTCTTGTATTTTTTATTTATTTACTTTCTGTTCAGGAAACGCACCAACTCCTCTGAATATGGTGGTTTTTTTATATAATAACCAAAATAAACAAACAGACCAATTATAAGTTTGTGTGTTACGGTTGTAAAGGCAACAAATTCTATTTGTTTTCATTGAGCAGAAGGTGTGAGTGGGTGGAAAAAATGTTGGAAAATAGTTAGCTGAGAGATGGAGAGGATGTGTGTTTACGGTTGTAAAAATGAGAAGAAGAGATGGTGAGGCAGAGAGAGAGAGAGAGAAAGAGAGGGAGAGAGAGAGAGATGGGGGAGGGAGTTGGAGTAGGTGGGCGGGAAGAGAGGGGAGGCGAGTTTCACGAACACAGAAAGAGAGGAAGAGAGGAACAAACAGTGATCTGCTGGTAGGCTGGAGCTGTTGTCTCTGTGTTCGAGCCGTCGTGTGAAGAAAAGGAGTCTGATTTTCTTTCTTCCCCCCCCCCACTCCTCTCCTCGTCTCCATCTTTGCCACATCCTGCTCCTCCACTCAAGGCACAACTTCTCGAGAGCCGTGTTTTTCCTTGGACTGTGAAGAGGAACCCGGGAAGCCAGCGTGCTGCCAGGTAAGAGAATGTGTGAAGAGGAAGCCGTTAGTGCGGCTGCAGCAGACGAGCGGACGGACGACTCTTGTTTGTGTTGCTGCTTTGAAAATGATACAAGTGGTGTCTCCTTGAAATGGAGGGAACACAATGCCTTCTGATGTGTGCACGCTTGTGTGTGTGTGAGTGAACGTGCACGTGTGTATGTGGGTGTGTAACTCCCAGGACACTGTTTACTGTGTTTGTGATTGGAGGAGTGAGGTCGTGAGAAAAGTAGGAAGAAGTAAGAGAAGGAGAGAGAGGAGGAGCAGAGTTTGCTCTTTGATAGAATAACAGATCAGTCAGGAACTGTCAGATTTACATCAAAAGACTTTTACTTAAATGATAAAAAAAAATCATAAGGAGTAAGTGGAATTTGAAAATGATAAGTAAGTGTATTTATCTCAGCACTTTTCTTGTTTTTGTCGAATGGTACGGCACTAGAAAACCTAGGTTAGGAGTATGTGTAGAAAATAACCTGTCAGTTTCTGGTTTTGTCAAAAATAAGGGAAAAAAATAAGAAAAAAAATTCTGCACCGTGTCACTGGTTTCAAGAGGTTAAGCCTTAAACCTAGCTCTACATCCTTACAGTTGCTTCTCATTTCTTCTGCATCTAGAAATCTAGAAGAACATTGTGTGCATAATCTCACTTTGTCTTCTTTGTGATGCATGATCTTTTTTTTTAAACTAAATACTGTTTTTTATTGCACTCTCAACTGCCTGTGTACCATTTTGTTGGTTCACTCAATGCCAAATGTCAGCCATGTGGTGCATGTCTGCACTAGGTATGGGTTTTAGGGTGGAGTCAGGATCGTGTTGTCATAGAGCTAGTTGTCCAGTCTTAGCCAATAGGAGAACATTGGTATCTTAACAATGTTCTGTTAAGATGAAACAATCGTCAATGAACAAGTACGATCAGCCAGACGAGACTGTTGGGTTCTGGATATTTTTAGTGTGTATGTGAAAGGACAGTTGAGATTAGTGGACCATATTTTTGAAACACATTATTGGCTTTAAATCAGTACATCTTCAAAATAAAGCATATTTTAGACTTTGTTTGTATCAGAGTCTAAAAGGTGAATTGTTTTCAAATATTTCCAGATTATCTTTAAATGAAAAAAGTAAATAGAAATAACCATATCGCCTTTAAATGAAGTAAATTATTAAATATTTTACTGCTTGTTGGTACCAAATGACCAAGGGTCTGGTACCGGTCCACGGACCTGGGGTTGGAGACACCTGTTATACTCTATGAAGCAGCAGCATATCTTCAAATCTTTCAGATCAGGTAATATTTTATATATATATATATATATTTATATTTACATGACCTACTGTTTGTATACATTTTCCTCCGTACTTTGTTTAGCTCCTCACTCACTGCTGAGCACTGGGATCAGGAAGGTGGAAACAGAGAGCGAAAAAACTCATCTGTATTTATCTGATTTATCAATAATACAGTACTGTGTCATCCTTACTTGGAGCCTCGCCTTCTCCCTTATTTAATGAGAAGGTATACTGTAATCGAATCACTGCCTCTGCCTTTTGCTGCTGTTTGTCATTTCCTCTTTGTCAAGCCTTATCTCTTCCTCTCCATCCCCATTATCCCTGATCCAAGTGAAATTAACCAGTCACTCTCTCTCTCTCTCTCTCTCTCTCTCTCTGTGTGTGTGTGTGTGTGTGTGTGTGTAGGCTGATGTACAGTAGGGCAAACAAAGGCTGAGTGGAGCTTCTGCTCACGTAATAACATTTGTACATGTTTATATACCTCCACCTTTGTTTGAAAACATGAAAAGGTTGGAGGGGACGACGGGGGCCTCAAGTGGACACTGTCTCTGAACTCATTGTCCTTATACATGAACAATGACAAGAAAGACAATTCAGCAAAGTTCATATAGGCTTTTTGAAAGGCAAAAAGAAAAACAAATGACATGGATTTTACCTCCAGTTTGGAGTACTGTTTCCTCCACTACCTCCTAAATCCTCTTTTCCTCTACGACTCCACTAAATCCTCTATTCTACTCTACTGTGTCACTTTGGTTTCTTGGGAAAATGGATTGAAAAGCCCTGCAGTGGACCTGAACCCATTCATGCCATTGTCAGAGTTTGATTTGGCTGAAAAGTCTGGACTCACTTGGAGACTGAAGTTTTTTCAATACCACCCTTTTTCTTGGAAGACATTTTATTGAACCTGTGTCATGTCATGTGACATTTGTGTGTGTGTGTGTGTGTTCCGCTGTGAAGGCCCTGCTGCATCAATCGTTAGTGAACATCTCTGGCAGTGATCCATATGGCGGGTTTTTGTTTATGTCTCCACTGACATGATCTTCACTGTAACATCGTGGAGCTCAGTCACAGCCTGGAGCCAGGCAATCCACTGACCTTCACGTAACCTTGCAGCATCACAGTGGGTGTTTTCTGAGCTGTAACAGGCTGCTCAGCTTTGTGAGTAATGACTTGTCTCCTTAATTCATCAAAACACAGACTAGGAGACAAAGGTGTGTAGGAGAGGATAAATGATGTATGGTTTTCAACGACAGTTCTGCAGATTTGGCGAGGTTTATTCTCTGACGTCCTCTGTGGTTTCCTGTGTGTGGCTGTCACTTTGCACAAGGGCTTTGACCAGATCACTCCCTCTGTGAATGTTACAGCTTTGCTGCCCAGAGCAAGCAGCTCCTTTCGGTCCACTGATTGCAGTTCGCTCCTCACTATCCGTGACTCATTGTCATCTCTTCTCTGATTGGCTGGCACTTCCACTCCGGAGGGTGGAAAAAAAAAAAAAAGAAAGACAGGGTGGAAAAGGGTTGGCCTCTCACGAGAGTGGAACACTAGGCCTATATTCTCATTCAGAATATATTTGGTCTGAAAAGTCCACGAATGGAAATGATTTTGTCCAAATAGTTTTGAGTCCAGTGTGAAAACTGGAATGATTCTTTTGAAAATATTTATCCTGAAATACGTTGATCAACGGCGTCTATTTCCACAGTCGTTGTTGTCACAAGTGAAAAGCTCTAAAACAAACAGTGGCTGGGCATCTCTGGTTCAGGACCACGGACAGAGATAGAGGCTGGGCAACTCTGGTTCAGGACCATGGACAGAGATAGAGGCTGGGCAACTCTGGTTCAGGACCATGGACAGAGATAGAGGCTGGGCAACTCTGGTTCAGGACCATGGACAGAGATAGAGGCTGGGCAACTCTGGTTCAGGACCATGGACAGAGATAGAGGCTGGGCAACTCTGGTTCAGGACCATGGACAGTGTTACTCCCAGGGCTGAGGAGCAGCAGGACCGAGGGTGGACAGACCATAGTCGTAGTAAAAGTGTTTACCATTTCTGAATAGTAACAGTAAGTGACAGCTGAACCTGCAGAGCTTAGAGCAGAACTAGGTTAGTACAGTTAATGCTCTGCCACATTCCATGCAGTTCACTGATGCGCTAAATCCCACCTGTGCAGGTCAGGGACACTCTGGTCAGGGACACTCATTGGTCAGGGACACTCTGAATCATTATGTGCTTCCCTGTTGTTCAGGTCTTCTGGTTCTTTATCTGTTGACTGAATACAATAGAATCAACATTAAAATGAACGTTACTGGACTCATGAATTCGTCTTCATACAATGTTAGATTGCATTAAATCACAGGAGGAATATCATGAGAGACATAAGTTTGATGCTCACGTGTTTGTTATTTATTGTTCTAAAAATATTTTTCAGATATTTATTGCTTAGACTAAACAGTCGTCACGTCTGAGCCAACACTATTATCCTACTTCATCTTCTTGGGCAGTTGATGGCAGCACTGTCATTGTGTAGTTTAAATACTGCCAGTAACTGGGTCCTTCTGTCAGTGTCAAATGATTCCTTAAAAAATAAATCAAAAACTTAAATTTGGCTGCTACTACACCCATGTTTAGGTCACGAGTCACTGGAGAAACTGCGCTCATGCCCAGCACAAGACGTAGATCTGAGCTGACAGACTGTTTTGTCTGTAGCTTTCGTTTGTTTGTTACAGACGTTTCATTTAGAAACATCATAAAGGGCCAGAGTCCTGACTCCGAGCTTGAACTGAGTCCTTCTTAGAAAAGAAACTCTTGGCTTCTCACACTAGCTCTGAGAATAATAAATGTGGTGTTCGCCTCAGCTACGGACCTGTGGATCTATTTGATTGATTTTAATGCACGGTTTATACTGTATAATGTGTTTAACCACAGCTGTTTGATTCAGATTCATTGTGGTCGGACCCGGACACTTGAAGCACTGGGATGTTTTAATGAATTATTTAGGTTCTTTTGACAATTAGTAGTTTGATGGAGTCAGTGAGAGGCTGTGAGGAGTGGTTTCTTTTGTCCTTGCTCTGATCTTTGAACTAAGTCAGAGCCAAGAGCCACTTGTCCTCATCCGTTATAATCATGTGTCTGTGCGTGTGTGTGTGTCCACTCCAATTTGCAAATACAGAGTCTGCATGACATCAATTTGTTGCCGTGCCGCGATTCCGACTCCTCACGCTCCTTCTGCTCATGTACCACGATAGACACAATCAAAGTTTCAAGTTTTCCCCCTGAGGCTTCTGTCTCAACTGGAGGCCACTACCCACCACTTCAACTCCCTCTCTTTCTCCCCCTCTATTCATACATTAATCTCTCTCTCTCTCTCTGTCTCTCTCTGCCAAGCTTCATAACAACCTTTTAATTAAGCAGCTAATCACTGACCGGGTCGTTGGTATATGTTTGAATTGTCATAATTGAGAAGCCACGAGTTGAAGATTTTCCACTGGTGATTTTAACGACACGTTCCGGAAAAGAGGCGAACGCGTTTGCGTTCGTTTGTTTGGCTGCAGCCTGTCGTGAGCTGAGAGCCATCCAAGCGTTCAGACTCCCGCCTCGCTCCTCTTCCTTGCCAACTGTCAACGTCCATAAAACAAAGGTGCGGTCATTCTTCTGTCTACTCAGGCGTCTCTGTCGTGCCTGTTAGTTTTTTCGTGTTTGAG